ATTCCTACTACTTTTCTTGTCCGCCAATCACCGCGTCACTAAACAAGGATAGAGACTCGGGTGAAAGCATCTATCCTCGTCCGAAGTTTGACCATTCTTTCTGCACAGAAAAGATACGGGACGCGCAGTCTATTTCTTATATGTCTATGTGCTCGTAATTATGATAATAACACACGAGCGTCGGTATTATCAATAACCGCGTCGTTATTATCGACCGCAGCAGTATATGAATCGGATCTCGGGCCGCTCGCGGAAAACGGCGCGCGGTAGTAGGGGCAGCCGGAGGAGAAATACTTCTCCTCACGCGGCACGATATGGTGCATTCCTTTGTACGACAAATGTAATACACTGGAACTTCACTTATTTTCCCACCCATAAAACTTGAGCCCTTCACTTATTTTCCTTGCGGAGGGGATCCCACTACTGTTGCAGAGTAAAGGTGGGTTTTCATTACGGTTGCAATGATTGGCTGTTGCATATACATTTCTATGCGAATGCGCATTTGTTTACGCCTATTAGTGTACATATTGTATGTCAAATCTGTGTTTGGAAAGTGAAAGAATTTAAAATGGAAACTGGAAAACAAGAAGTTCACAGAGGTAAGGCAATGTTATTTAATGTGTGGTTCAGTAAGATTTTTGCGTTAGTTTTTGTGTTAAATTGTAACTTCATAGAAAGTGAGGTTAAAATTTAATACAAAAACTAATTTTGTACATATTTTCAGAAAAAGTTCGGAAACTACGGCCAAAATGCAAAAAACTTTTATTGAAAGAAAAAATATCTGTAATCGAGCTTATAGAAAAAGGAGAAGCGAGATCAAACGTTGCTATAAAATTTGGCATAACTAAAAGAGCAGTTGGCTACATACTACAAAAAAAGGAAAAATATAAACAGATAATGTCAGAAAGAGTGAAGAGTATGAAGAAAAGGACTAGAATGGATGAAGGAGAAAATCCTTTATTGGAAAAAATTCTTTTACAATGGATCAAGCAAAAAAGAAGTCTTGGCATAGCTATCACTGGTCCTGATGATAAAGGAAAAAGCGTTGACATTTCATGAAAAATTAATGAAAAAAACTCAAGAGAGAGAAGGCAATGAGAAAGAAGAAGAAATAAATAGCCAACAAAAAAATTCAGAATCCAAAATGTTGAACACATTTAAGGCAAGTGAAGGCTGGTTGCACAGATTTAAACAACGATATGGAATCCGACAAATCAGCTTTAAAGGAGAACAATTGTCTGCCGATTACGATGGAGCAAATGAATTCCTTGATCTTTTCAAACAAGTTATTAAAGAAGAAAGATATAACTTGGATAATGTCTACAACGGAGATGAGACCGGCTTATACTCTTCAAATCTTTGCCCAAGAAAACTTTGGCACTAGTAGAGGAAAAAGAAGCGTTGGGTTTCAAAGAATCTAAACAGAGAGTCACTCTAATGAACTGCGCCAATGCTACAGGTTCTCACAAGGTGCCTTTGTTGCTGATTGGAAAATCGAAAATTCCTCGATGTTTCAAAGATCTCACACATTTGCCTGTGATTTATATGTCTCAAAAAAATGCATGGATGAGTGGTATAATGTTATTTTATCTAAGCACACATTAGTTTTTGCACTACATTTTCCTGAAATTTTAATTAATATTATTGTTTTATCAACAGTGAAATTTTTTATTTTATCTTACTTTTTTATCGACTTTTTAATTTTTTGTTTGTCTCAATTTCATAAAACCTTGTAATTTTTGATCAACTTTTTTAACATTTGTATATAGTTTATTTACTTTCTTATCGTTTTTTGTATTGTAGGTGATATTTTTATTAAGTGGTTCAGGAATGTCTTTATTCCATCTGTAGAAACACGGAAGCCGAGAGAAGATGAAAAATTTTTACTTCTCCTTGATAATGCGCTTTGTCATCCATCAGCTGAAATGTTGAATTCTATAAATTCAAAATTTAAAGTAATGTTTTTGCCTCCAAATGTTACTTCCTTGATTCAGCCGATGGATCAAAGCGTCATCGAAAGCTTAAAACGACATTACAAGCAAATTTTCCTTCGAAAGTTATTATTGGCAGACTTTGCTAATCCCTCCAGAATTCCAAATTTTCTAAAACAATGGAATCTTTCTGATACGATTTTTGCTCTTGCTAATGCATGGTCTTCCGTCACTCTCACAACTCTGTCAAAAGCTTGGAAGAACTTACTTGGCGAAATTGTTCTTCCGGACACAACAGATGACACTTCGAATAACATTGTTTCAACGTTAAATCGAATTCATGATTCTGAAATTTTTTCATTGGCAGAAGTTGATGAATGGATTCATGAAGACACTGAAATTCCTAGTTGGCGTAAACTTTCTGACCAGCAACTGTTTGAAACATTATTAAAGAAAAAAAATACCGAAGTACGTATATATAATAACAAAAGCAAATTTGAATGCGTCCAATAATGTAACTATATAAATTTAAATAAATTTATTTTTTTCAGAGCATGACACAACAAGATGAAAACAGCGGATCATCGACTGAAGACGAACATATCCAAGAGAATATTCCAAGCTCATCAGACGAAACACAAAAAGCTTATCATTATTTTCAAGAATTCAGAAAACGGTTTGACAAAAGAACTGAATCTACCATAAATGAAATTACTTCTGTTTTTCTAATTCAAAATCTCCTTGATAATGATTTGTACAATGTAAAGTTTAACAAATGTTAAAAAAGTTGATCACCTTCAGAAAAGTAAGAATAATAAATATTTGTTACGTAAAAATAATCTCTGTAAAAATAATTGCTATTTGTTACGTTTCTTTTCATATATATTTTATTACTTTATACATATTTTTAACAACTTA